TTTGGTTCTTTGTTAGTTTTATGAATTTATTAATACTTGATTAACCCGAGGCTATGAGGCTTTTCATTGAGCACCTTTGTAACTTTGGAACGTAATTCAAAGTCTGTGAATTGTATTAGTAAATTGATGCAACTTACTCAATGTAACTACCAAGTAAAATTGATCGTAGTAAATACTCGAAAGAGCACAAACATTCATATCCTGGTAACATTCATAGTACATGCTGAAACTAATGTTCTAATATGGAATAACTGTTTAGGCTCCTATTTTCAGCCTTTAGTAATTTTACTCTTATTATTCGTAGGTTTTTGTTGTAATGTAACAATATAATTACGGATGTTCCATCACAGAGCGTCATATAGTGATAGTCATAATTTGTACAATGTAATAACGTAAATTTCTTTCCTACGTGAGGAAACGATGAGATCCGTGAGAAACATCACGAAACTCATACATTCACCAATGTTCTTGAAAACAACAATATTAACTATATCAAAGATCGATTTTTAAATTACTCTTTGCGTTTTCCAACCATCTTTTCAGCTTCACCAATGTTATATAAATGTTATTAGATTACCTACCATTTACCAAGCACCTATTTTACAGTAGTACACTTTAACTAGAATTACAGCACAAGTTATCTTGGCAGTCATTACACAATTTCGGCATACCGTAATGTACACCGTATAATCATATTGTCGACAGACTAATTTAACAATCCCCTCGTTAAGTAGAGCAGATGATCTCCGATAAGGTGCTACACTGGCGCTGGCCACGACACCTAGCAGAGAACCGGGGAACTACCAGCGCCACTGCCTCCGCGATCTCTAGCGGCGACGAAATCAATTTGGCTGCGGCTGCATTTGATTGTTGAATGATTATACCGAGTAGAGTGATTGTTTTTGTAACTTTCTTTTGTATTTTCGCTTGGTTTATTTAGATGCATATACTGTAATGGGTGTGTAAAATGATTATTCTAAGAAAGACAAGTTAATTCAATTATTCAATTTTGTATGATTAATTCAATTATATATTTATAATATACTTGTGTAAGTGTAAGTAATATGACCACAACATAAGTTAAAAACAAGAATTGTTAAAAGTATTCTATAAAATATTGTGTAGACTCTATGAACCGGAACAAAAATTATAAAAGGTCTCTTCTGATTTTATGTTTAAGTTTTATGATCAACTCTTAAATTACAGTTGTAGCCTTTTGTTGATACTGTATCTTTAAACAGTATAATATCTCTATTTTAAGCATTATGAAGTATCACTCAATAATTTATATTTCTAGACCTGGACTTAAAGTAGGCATTATTACAAGTCTAATACAATGCAGGATTGAATTAAAAAATCTTTTTTGTGGTTTAGGTCAAATTCGTTTTCATACAACCTCAGAGTAATACAACCTAAAAGATTTCTATTTCGAATAGCCTTGCAATTTTTTTTCTCTGCTAAAGATGTAGCGTGTGTTAAACAATTTTAAACTCTACAAACTGTTCACTTCTCCAAACGTTATTTTACAAATCGTAATTTGAAATGATGTTGAATTTACAATGTAACTTTATGTAAATGTCGGAGGGAGAGGAATTGGCGGGTAAATGATCAACTGAACAAATAGCGCGCGAAAAACAGATTGAAGACACTTGCAAGGAAGGAAATAAGATTCTTGCAACGCTTCAGAAAGACTTTGGGAAGTTGTTTGGGACTTTATCATTGGAATTTCCTCATGACACATTGCCTTTTCAACCTTACTATCTACATTTCGTTTTTGTAACCGGTAAATTAAATGGAATGCAGAAAATAGTTGGTTATAATATCGATTTGTTGGAAAATTTCAAAATTGGATTACCCACAGAGAAGTGGGTGATGTGGTTTATTTTATTTTTAACTTGAAAAAAGTATTTTTTTATTTCGTTAAGATGAAATATTATTAATCGTAGTGAACACTATAATTAACTGCCTATGTGCTGTTTACGTGTTCATTATTTCTAAATCATACAATTGATTACCAACGTTTAACGAAATAAAATAAATGTTTATGGAAGCAATAATTATTGTTCACTGCGTTTAGTACTGCATACGTATATTTTAAACCTCAAAAGGTTATACTGGATATAGGGTGGGTATTGTTTTTCGGTTTGCCAGAACACTTTTTGTAAAATCTTATTTTAATACTGATAAACCTTTAGCATACATTTTGTAATAGCAAATCCATTCAACTCTGCACATCCAACATCATAAATGGAGGACTGATTAATCAAACTACATAAATCTAGTAGAAATGTTGAGGTTAGGTGCTGAGAAGTTTAGTTACTTTACGTCACTTTATTATGATTAAACATAATCTTTGCTATATAAAAAACCTTTTTCATTAGATTTTAGGCAATACACTTTATTTCCAATTTAAGAACCTTTTCTGCGCTTGAAACAAATCAATATTGTTTCAATTCCACGATCAGCGGACCACTTTTCATTTCCCGTTTATTTGGCAACTCTATACCCGTTTTATTGGGCCTAATTCTCGCGCGTTTCCGTTTTATCACCCATAAACTTGTCCCGCCATTACAGCTGGGCGCCGCGCGTCGGTTTTTACGTCACACGTTTTAGAACTCCGGTCTCGTTAATCGCTCGAATCTCCACAACTTGTGTTAAATCACACGCTTGTTTGTCACATGGTGACAAGTTTGTGTGAACGATATGTTTTACAGATAAATTTATTTATTCTTTCAAACTTGTTTTATATTTTCAACCAAAGACGAGGAGTTGTATTCAATTAGTGTACTGAATTTCAAATGGAAGATTATTTGAGTACAGTAACGTGTTAGCTCAATAGCACACTGAAGAGCTATCTAACACTCAATTGAAAGTAACTAATAGATAGAAACAACTATTGAATCTTGCACGTAGACTTTCCGTTATGGTGTAAATCAAAGTCCATTTTGATTAGAATTTGATATTCCGGCAAAGATTAATTGTGCTTATGTCTCCTTTCTTATTTGTTGGGTTAATTTATCACTATCTCGAATGAATGATAAAATAACAGCAAACACAACCACTCATTGACTTTGGATATTGCAAGTAGTCCTACATCAGTATTTTATGTTTGATGTCGCTTAATTTTACATGTACAAGATCTTAAGCAAACTTATGTGAAGTCAAGAAATCAATCTTGAAAACACAGCCTATATCTATTCATTGACTGCCTATAGAAGGATTTTGATTACATTATTGCGTGGTTTTCAATTGAAAGCCACGTTTAATTGGTTGTCCGCCAGCCCCAGCTCAAGTCAATTAAATGTAAATGAAACCGCAGTGGATCTGATGTAAATGCGGCGGGGACGGTGGACCTGTCGTGCTCGTGCTACGATCTTTACTCAACAATTGGTCGTATAAATCTTGCAGTAATATACCTAATGGTATTGTCTCCACTTAAGACAATACAACTTTGGGAGTTGTTATGGATACGTCATAATTTGACGGTATCAGAAGAAAATACTTCTTCTTGAACTGAGTGTTATTCGTATCTTGGGGGTAACCTAAGTATTTTACAGCTTTGTAAATAATTTAAAATTTTAAAATGTGTAAAACGGTATAATTTTACAGTAAAATGTTTCCTCACATTCATTTAGTTGAGCATTGTACGTAGTATAGTAGCTCTTTTGATTTGAGGACTTTGCCAATTGCCACTTTATTTATTTATGTCATAATAGCCCGTGCAGCATTTCATAGCCCAAATGTTGGTCAACCTATCAATAAAAATCTGTATGTAAAATTTCCCTAGAAAAAAGCAACACTGGAAAACATTTATCCATGCCTTGAACCCGCCATTCCAGGCTGTTTTAGCAACCAGAGCTCGAAACTTCTATCTTTGAAACATGGGTTTGAATCTTCCCAATCCTTAAACAATTTAGCGAAGTAATAATTCCGTGACTTGGAGGTTAATAACCTGCTTTGCTTTAAGCTCTAGATCTACCTACTTAACACAATAAAAGATTAATCCTAATGAAATGTACTTTCATTTGTACAACTCCCTCACCAGAATTCCTATTATAGAACTATATACCACTTAATGAAATATCTTAACGATTTAAAACCCTACAAGATCACAGTTTAGGAGACAATGATCTCAAAGTCCCGTTGTAGAGAGGCCGCGGGGGTTTCGAGTCGTGCCGCTCCGTGGCCGCGCGTGCAAACCTCAGTTTGGCCGCGAACCTCGGTTTTTGGCGGGTTTTGGGCCCAATTGTGGCTTCGGCCTTGCGTGGTAATTGACACGTAATTACTGTGTTGTTCGCGAAAAACGTCCGCGATGGCTCTCTGCGGCCATTCGATGGGGAATCAATCTACGTCGATATCTGGTTGATCACAAGAGTTGGGTACCGGTACTATAACATTAGTCGAAGGTATTTTCGAAAGGTTATTGGTATTTATTTGGGTGACATATTGGACGTAACTCTTGGCGCCACACATTACAAAGGTTTTAAATTATATCAAATTGATAGATTCTTTCTCTTGTTTTCCTTGATGCCTACAACGTGTGCGTATTTTATTCCTCATTGATGACATGCTGACTGAAAATAATTCAGTTATTAAATTTAATTAGTAAACCCAACTACTTCTCCGGTGGAGGAATCGTATGCTTATTTACCTAAATCGCCCATCAAGTGTTATTCAAATTTGCAATAGAGTTGCATTATATTTGTAGTCTAGCTACTGTCTGAGTGTGCCTTTGTAAATAATATTTGTCGAATACGCAAGCACAAAAAATAGTGTCTATGTTCGTAAACTATCGAATCATCAAAAATTAGAGAGGAAGTAAAAGTTTTGATTCAGTTAACTTTGTGAGTAAATGAATATAAAATTGTCTACATGGTGTGTATAAATTAGATGTGTACTACAGTCCGTGCTATTACGTTATGTTTTCTATGTGTTGTGACCTTTTCTTGTGGTACTGTAGTATTTACACCGTCACTAACTACTCCTGTGTTCTGTTGCAGGCTACTACCAGCCGGCCGGTCCTCTCATCTCCACACACCATCATCACCACCACTCTACCACCAGCGTCACCAAACTGCCACCCCCACCAACCCCTCCCCCGTCCTCGGCGCCTCACCCACCCTCGGAGACGTCGGACACCGAGGTGGTGCCTGCCGACAGTCATCCCCCGCCCCCCGGCTACCGCTACCCCGCGGGACAACCCTACAACTACGGCTACCAGTACTACCCTTCACCTCCTGCCAGTAGTCTGCAATACCCTGCACACAACTACCACCAGGACATCTGCTACCCGCCCTCTGGGTACCCGCCCGGCTACTTCCCCAAGGGTCACTACCCCCACGCTCCAGGGTACCGGAGATATGGTCATCAGTACTATCCTCCGCAAGACTTCTACCCCAATCCTCCTCCTAGCTCCAACCCGCCTTCCTCCAATAGTCAGATGATCGTGGCGCCGCCCTCTGGGGGGCAGAGCTCCTCGAACTTCCCACCCTCCGATGGCAACTATCCTCCCCCTCTGGATCCTTATCCGCCGCCTCCACAGTCGTACTACCCTGGGTATAGCGCTGGGCCGCCGCCCCCGTGCTATTCTACACACTCGCCGTCGTCGAGAGGGTTGTTCATAGGTGAGTTGATGGTTTGATTAACTGTCTCAAATATTAGATAATTATCGTAAATTATTCTTGAAATTCTCTATTTGACGTTTGTTTTGAATACTCTGAAATGTTATTTGTTTTTTGTAATATATAAAATATATATTTGGCTTGCCCAATCATTTCAATCTCTGATAAAAACTAACTACTATATTTAAAATAATGGAAATTAATCAGTTGGATTTGTGTTGGGTTTTTGAAAAATTTTTTTATTCCAAAAAACATTAAGAAGACATAGGATAAAATTATAATGGACACGTATTAAAAACAGACTTTAATACTTGCCCAAAAATATGTTTTTTAAGCCCTAAATAAATAAAACAATTTGTTGGGGGAGAGGTAATTTTTCCACAACCACAAAATACAACGTCAGGTTCCCAGATAGCACAAAAACATTATTTTCACGTGAAAAAAACGTTTTTCATTTTACATTTTCACGTTATTTTGACGTATAAAAATGGGGAAAATCACGTTATTATCGCGCGAAAATAACGTGCAAATTTCACAACTTTTCACGTAAAAATAACGCGAAAATAAAACGTGAAATTTTCGTTTTTACAATACGATATTTTCACATTTTACACTTAATATTTACGTTTTTAAAACGATCTTGCTTTTACATTATTTTTACGTGAAAAATATGATATTTTTTACTTTTTACATTTTCACTTTTTTCACGTGAAAATAACGTTATTTTTACATTATATGCTGACTGGGTCCAGATAGCACAAAAACATTATTTTCACGTAAAAAAAAAAACGTTTTTCATATTACATTTTCACGTTATTTTGACGTATAAAAATGGGGAAAATCACGTTATTATCGCGCGAAAATAACGTGAAAATTTCACAACTTTTCACGTAAAAATAACGCGAAAATAAAACTTGAAATTTTCCTTTTTACAATACGATATTTTCACATTTTACACTTAATATTTACGTTTTTAAAACGATCCTGCTTTTACATTATTTTTACGTGAAAAAATATGATATTTTTCACTTTTTACCTTCTCACTTTTTTTCACGTGAAAATAACGTTATTTTTACATTATGTGCTGACTGGGTTACCTGCTGAAAAATTTCAGCCAGTGTCCTGTACCAATGAAAATAACTCATTATTATTTTTGGGTTGTACCTAAGGGAGTGTGTTTTATCTATGGTTGTACCTAATAAATTGTTTTGATTTTTACCTTAAATGCCAATAAAGATACTACGTATTAACTAAACGATCCTGTTTTGCTTATTGCAATATTTCAATTTTGGTTTAAAATTACACATCTTTACAGATATAATATTAATTGTAGGCTATAGACTTTCCAAAGTGTTTTGATAACACACCATTCTATAATCAATCAACTTTACGCAAAAGTGCGCGACCTCGCACACATTCTACGCACTACACAAAAACACAATTACTCGTGTAAAACCGGTTCACGGTTCGGAACGTTTCGGCTAACCTCGTGCGTTTCCGCTGCTCGCACGGGGATTGGTGTCACAGTAGTTCTAAATTCTTTCCTTTCCCCACAATTCGCCCTTCTCAACTTGTGCGTTCTGCGTTGTGTATGACTGTTGTCAGTTTGTGTCACAGCTGTTTTTGTTGTGTTTTTTCTCGCGCGTATTTCCGTAGTGTGATCAGATTACTACGCTTTTAAAACCGGTTTCGTGCGGCGAGTTCGGAATTGAGGTTGGAAACGTGTTTTAAAACGTGGGAGTGACAGATTCACGTTAGAGTTTTAATCTTACCTATTTGTTTTCTAACCGAACTTAAGGCGACCTAAGTTGTAAACTCATGTTGTTTGAAAATATATCGGGTTATTTTGCCATATCTAATCGTAATTTTATGGGTAACTGTGTAAATATTGCGATAAATACACTCCGGATTAAGTCTAAGGGTAAGGATAGTTTTTATTACGTTTTAGTGGTTTAGTTCTGTATTTTTCCTAGTAATATCGGTTTTGTATAAATAAATCCCAGAACTTTCTGAACATCTAAGATTTTTAGATGGATTGCTTGCTCTTTTGACTGGGATTATTTTATCCCTCAAGTTGGTATCACTAAACAGTTGCTCCATAGACTTTTTTTATATGTAATAAAAAACAAAATACAGTTTCATCATTTTTACTTTCTCCCCCCTATACATACATATATGGAGAAATTATTGTTTTCGTCTTCGAGTTTGAGCTTTGTGTACGGATATATTCGTTTTGGGCCACTTCCCCCCCCTATACATAGTATATGGAGAGAGTATTGTTTTCGTCAAAATTGTCGAGTTTTAAGTAGATATATATCCGTTTTGGAACCCCCTGAACCCAAAAAATTGGTTTTCGAAGTAATGTCTGAGTGTGTATGTGGATGGGTACAGAGCTACAGACCACACCTTTATTTCGATTTTGATGAAATTTCTGTGTACTAAATCCACGATATTCTCCATGCGTTTTTTCATTTTTTTGAAATTTAGATTTTTAATGGTAATTTTTTTTGAAAACCCCATAAAATCAAATAAAAATCGGATTTTCTCGTAAATGGCCCAAACGATTTTAATTAAAAGTTAGTAGGCTGCCTATGTTATACTTCTTTTACATTATGAACAAAATGGTACAAATTCAATTTCAGTAAAAATTACCGTTCCAAAGTTATTGCAAATTTTGTTATTTTCCCATAAAAATAAAAAAATGACTTTTTTTTAAAAAGGCCGGTTATGATTAAAATTAGTATGTTACTGTCCTTAAAATTTTGAACAAAATAGTACAGATACAATTTCAGTAAAAAATACGGTGTGTGTATAATAAGTGTCTGTGTGTTCTGATTTTGATTAAGCCGGTTTTGATTAAAATTTATTCGATATGGTTCTTGTAATTATAAACAAAAATAGTGCAACCCTCCACTGCCAAACGATTAGGGTTCAAAAGTTATTGCAACCTTTGTGATTTTCCTATAGAATATCATAGTTACTCCCACCGCTTACCCATGATAAAGGTTGTTTTCAAGCTTATGGGAGGAATTATTATGTGTCAGTTTGCTGATACCGTTTATTTTAAAATGAAGGAGTAGTAGTACATCATTAGGAGTAGTTACTGTTTATACTAGTACAATTTTCAACCAATTTATGTGTGTTATACACAAAATATGATTAAAACAAATCTGCAAAATTACCAATATCTTTTTTAGTTTTTTTTTTTTTTTTTACTTGATAAACAATAACAATTATAAACAATGTATTCAAAAATCAAAAGTAGTGATTGAGATTTTAAACTTAGAAATTGACTGTTGTTCGAGTGTTAGGTTCCTTCTGATTACTGTATTCAAACCTTGACCATATATTTAAAAATGTTCGAGGGATTAATAAAAAAACTATTGTTTCACATAAAACATGCATACTTTGACTGAACTGGTGAAGGTAAAGTCAGTGGTTTATCCAGAAGGGGGGTTAGGGATTTGAACTCCCCTTGACGTTAAAACGAGATTTTTTTTACAATTAAAATATTTTTTTCACAATAAATAATCTGTTTTATATGTCTCTAAATATCCTAAAGCGTGAGGTTGCACGTTTAATTTTCAAAAATTTCCCAGGGAAGGGCCCCAAAGACAATTGAATTACCTTTTAAGTAGGTGTAACCCCCCCCTTTTTGGTCATCCTAGTTACGCCTATGGATGAAGTTAACAATTCACAAATTTTCTTTAAAGAAAATGAATAATCATATTTTTATATTAAAGACTTGAATCTTACCTAAACTTTGAATTATGGGATATCTAGTGAATTCAAATTCTTATGTTAGGCGTAAATGTCTTGTTCCACGATCCACGCCATACATAAATAAGATATGGACAATGGAAAATTAAAAGAGAACACCCACATCTTACAAAAAAAATACACTACATTCTAAGATTAACATTTTGATTGCTATATGTAGCAAAACTTAGTGTTTTTTGTTTACAGATGCCGCAGCTTACCAAAGCTGTCCTTGTCCAATGCAGTCGTGTCCAAAAAACGTCCATACTGGACCTCTTACTGGTGTCAGTAAGGGGTCTATGAAGAACCAGACGACACCACTGCCACCCGTGGCGCTAGCGCTGCCATTGGAACCTCCCGGGGCCCTGGGCCCTCCCAGCCCTGCTAGAGGCAGCGCAGGGATGCCCCCGCCACCATCACCTGCACTGGCCACGGCGAGGAACCCTCCACAGTCACCCCCCGCCAAGCTACCACCAGAGCAGACCGGGCTGCTGACCATCAGCAAGATGGTGACTGATGCAGTTCTACTAGCAGACCAGGATGCTGGCCTCCCATTGGCCGACTTCATACCTAAGTCTGAACCGATCAAATTGGAGGTCGAGGACATTGTCAAGATAGAAGCCACCGAAGAAGTTAAGTGTAACCGTAAAAGAAGAAAGAGCTTGAAAGGCGACGTTAAAAGACAAGCGGTCGATGTCATGACGGAATTGGACATCAAAGTGCAGCCAGACGATTTGGAGTTTCAGGAACGATTAGTGGTCAAAGAAGAACCGGAAAAAGACACAACGGAGAAATTGGTGGAAAAACAGCTACCTTTGTCGGACAATGGTGCGACAGTCAAAACGGACATTCCAGTGCTTAATGGGATTGTGAAAACGAAAAAAAGGAAATCAGTGAGTAGTGACAGTGAACCGGCTGCGAAAATCACAAAGTGTGTTAAAAGTGTGTTGAAGAAGAATGCGAAAAACAAGAAAGCGGAGGAGAATATCGCACCAGTTGAAACAGTGGAGGAAACTGCGAAAGTTTGTAGACAAAGTAAACCTGTGGAAAGGCGGAAATCTTCTTGTTCTCCTCACAAGACTGCTACAGCAGCGAGCACCGGACCACGGGACATCCCCACGGAGGAGAGTCCTAACACAGAGACAGAGGGCTGCAAGAAGAGGAAGGTCGTGCGGGGGAAGAAGACACAAGAGAAGACCAAAGCTGATCATCTACTGAGGAGCCATGGCAAATCAGAGGGTCCAGCTACGATAAAGGAGAGAAGATTATCAAAGTCAGGTAAGCTAAATCAAACAAATTAACATTATTATCTGTCCAACTTTAACCAGCAATCCTATTGGTAATGTATAGCTGTTTTAGTTCTTACTCCTTTAGTTTCTCCCTAACATGAAAAAGAAATTATGTAATTAGAAAATGATACATTTCCTAAAGTCTCAATTATATTTTGTGTGTTAAAGGTATATGTTTAAAATACCAAGTGTCATTTCATATCCAACAAGTTATTTGAATTATCAGACACATTGAACAGATCAATCTAGATCATAGTCATGTTATTAAATTTTAAAAAAAGCCCCCCAAAAACAAAAAAACAAAATTTTGATTTATTTTTTTATTTGTATTTTGATTTATGCAAAATGCATGTCTTGTTAATTAGTTTTAATTATCGAAATTATAGCTAGGCTATAATTTGTGATATTTTATCAGTCTCATTTGTTCATGCATCTAAAACATAAAATTATTTTGAATATTTAATCATACAGTTGATTTTCTCATGATTTTGACTGAACACTTCATCAATAACCAATCATATAGTCTTACGTTTTTTTACAAATATAGTTTGAAAAGTGAGTAAATATAAGTATAATTAGATGTCTACTTACAAACTGTTATCATAGTAGATGAAGTATATAATACAGAAGTATTATACCATCATAATGATACCAAATACCGTGCAAATACATAACTTACCTACCTGCAAATACATAAGCATAGGCCTACCTGATGAAATAAAGGAAATCGTCTCTGCTAGGATAAAATTTGTTGGTGTTAGAATTGATGACGACATAATTGCCAACCTACCAGAACTGGTGAAGAGTAAAGCATGTGTAGAAAGTTAAGCTTGAGATTATATGAGTCTCGTGCATGCTTTACAGTTGAGCCGCAAACCTTAACGGCTGATATTAACATGCAACATTCACTCACGACATTCATACTCGAGTTTACTACTGTAAATTTAAATACTCTCTTCTCATAGTGCATATCATTGAGTCAGATTTTATAGGTCGGCCTACTGAACAATGTTTTGTTTTTATATACCTAGGCTACATACCAGTACTATGCAAATTGTATCATGGTTTCCCTTCAAAGCATAATTTTCTTTGCACAAATCAGAATAAAAATTTATTAATACAACTAATTTGTTTTCAGCAACATATTTATTTTTCATACCTAGGTGATAATATTTTTACTTTACATTAATTTTCGTACACATTTATAAATTACACCAATTTTTTTGTCAATTAACTTTTATATTTCAAAACCCCTGAGTATTTCTAATTTACACTAATGTATGTCTTTTTACATTTGTTATATTTATATTTTATTTATTTATTTTGTGTGTTTTTACGCCAGTGGCATTTTTTACTTTTTGAAAGGGAACGGTCCAAACTCTGGTATTGTTACTATCAACCTTTTTGTTAGATAGCTTTTTGATTCATAGCCCAATGACAAATGGCATCTGGGTCTGGAAACTATCTCGGATTCGAACCAGCGACCTTCAGATTTGAAGGCGAGCACTATAACCACTCGGCTATCCAGACAATCACGCCAGTATATACCCTTGGTACATATTATAGCTTCAGACGTCATCCCTTCTATGCCTGTGTATTGCAATGTTACACCAACATAATTCTTTTTCTACTTTATTTTAATTATAACCCTTTTTTACAAATATCAATTTCTACTTAACACTAACACCAATTCTTTCCCATTTAATTTAAATTTTACCAAAATACTTTTTTTTATCTTTACACATATATATATTTATATTTTACACCATATTTCCTTCGTTTAACCCAAATCAATCCTATTGACATGTTAGTGCATATCTACCCCATCCTGAGTGTTCATCACAACCATGTGCCTCACAGGGAGTTCGCCAGTGCGGGGGGCCAAGAAGGCTGCAGCCCCCATACCACCCCCGCTAGACCCCTCCGCAGACAGCACCATCTCACTACCCGGTCTGCGTAAGTCTCTCGCTCCTAAGTGGTCCAACGGTTGGTCCTGGGAAGGGACTCCTTACATGGCCAAAGTCTTTACCAAAGTAAGTACTGTAACTCTCAATCCTAGTTTGTTTGCAAAACACAGATATAGAAATAACACCAGCGAACTAGACCATGAAGTTGTAAGTTACCGGAGCTTGACTATCCAATTAGAAAATATATGAGGAGTAGTAATCCCTGAGTAAACTATAGGTGCAGAGTGAAACATAAACATACAGGGTGACAGAAAAAGAATGCTGGAATTTTAAACGGCCAATTCTTGGGTACTATTCACGATAGCTAAACGATTGAGCAGTGTCAAGTGGTCGTTGGGCTCAAACCCCTGACACAAGTCGCCAGTACGACCTTTACGGTGCAACTTGATCTGTGGTTTGCAGAGTTAAAATAGATTGTTAAATTATCCAAATTTAAATCCACTCGATGATAAAGCAATTAGAAGCTGGTGTAATGAGTTTTGTGACAAAGGTAGTGTTTTGAAAGAACATTCACCTGACCTGCCAAAAACAAGTGATGACAAATTTGAAGAAATCCAACAACCCTGCATCAGAAACTTGAAAAAATCAATTGCCCAAAAAAGTCTTCAGTCGAACCTACATTCCATGATGTAATCAGTAAAAAATGTAGATTTTGTGACAATTTAGTTAAGACATCACAATCCGCTGATCTCCCTAATTGTACTGCTACAGTCATTGCCAATTTTAAGCTCAAATGAGATTGATGGTAATCTGAATTTAATCAGAGTATGAGAAAAAACTTTGTTCTTTTCCCTTCAATTTGCTGTTTAAATTGTGTAATTATCTTTAATAGTCCCCGAGCAACGGCCGTTTAAATCCTGCCATGTTTTTTTGGACGCCCCGTACATTGAAATCTTCTAAATAATGTTGGAAAAAAATTGAATATTAACCATACAACGGTTAACTGTTGTTTTTGATACCGCACTTTCAGCCCCACCGATGTTCCTTGTAGCCTGTAGCAATCGCAACGTCAACAAGTAATTTTTCAACATGTTCCCGGACAGTAATAAAAAATAAATTGAATATATAATATCATTGGATTCTACTCAGCAAATTGTAAGCTTGTAAAATACACAACTATTGCGATTGTGTGGTGAAATACAAAACATTGTGTTCATACTACCTCGTAAAATTATATAGCAGTGAAAAGAGCAACAATTTCTTCTTTACATTATTTTTTATGCTTCATTTATTGCTAGAATATTTCTTGAATTATTTGACACTTACTACATAATACATACACAATGTTGTCACATTATGACTGAGTAAATTTTACTTTCAAGTTTTACATTCAACATAACATGTAAGGGAAGTGAGAAAATCGAGTGATCGTAAACGGCCCAGTCGTGACACGGAGCCAAAAATAATCCTTGGTTCCGTTCTCAGTTATTTCTGGCCACACATCAACAAGTGTGTTTTCATTCATTCCTTCACATCATGTGTCCGTACTTACGTTGTCTAGACTCAAATTTTGTTTACCTTGTCAGGGGAAAATTATATTTTGTCCAACAATTTTCATATATGTTCTTTTCTTAGTATGAGTCCGATTATGTGTTGTTTGAATAAACCAATTTTGATAAGCTAAAAAAATTATCTTTGCTAAAAAAAATCTGAATATTTACTACTAGGCTATTTTGATTATTTTATTTCACAAGCTTTTATTTATCCTGTATACTTGGAATGATACACTGAACACATATGGAGGATTCTGTCATAGACTAACCAACACAAGTAGACTTCTCATCCCATTGTAAATTTTGAAGCTCGTTTTTCATGTCTAGTTCATGTACGCCACACTGGGCGCTAGTGTCGACAAAATTTTGTATCTATTATTTTAGGGTTAATTTCTTGATTTGTGCTTTACTGTTTGGTTAAATAACTAGGGGACAATTTATTGTTTATGATTAGATCGTATTATTTGGTTAAACGAGGTTTTAAATTACTGTAATAATGAGAAACAAATTTTAAACAAAACACGACCTCCACATAAACCGTACAGAACTAACAATAAAATTGTCTTCAGCTGTTCCATTAGGATGAGAAATCTACTATAGTTCGGCCGCTTAGAAAACGACCTGCGCGCTAATGCTAAACCAATGCTGGAGGAGATCGTTTTCTAAGCGGCCGACCTATAAGGGAGTACCTATGTTTTATCTATGATTCTGTTGAATTATCTAACCCTTGGTAATCTGTTTTAATTCTACTGTACTGTACATATGGCAGTATCCATCCAACTATCAGATATAATATATTCATTACTAGTTCAATCATAAACAAATTTGATATTTATAAAGGTTTGAACATTGACCATTTATTCAAAGCCCAATATCAGCTGAGTCCATTTTCAAAGCATCAAAAAGTACATTTCTTAGGTTAACTGGCGACCCAATGGTTATTAGACGAGCACTAAAATGTAAGCTACATCACTAAGCTAAAAAGTCAATTATACCTCACAACTCTTCCGTGTGTCCACATAAAAACATGATTACCACACAAGTAATCTTAGGTGATATTATAATTCATTAGAGACATTTTATTAACAAGTTGTCCTGTGTCAGATTGATGATGGAGCAGTGTTGCGGAAGTGCTACCCGGCCATGAGGCACGCACAGGGTGACGTGATCCACCCGCGGGACTGTATACTGCTCAAGTCTGGCCCGCGCAAGCTGGACCTTCCCTACGTAGCCAAGGTGGCCGCAATGTGGGAGGACCCTGAGGATGGTAAATTTATATATTTATTACATATTGTTGTGTCTTTACATTCTAAGGGTTGAAATACAGAATGATGGCCCAAGACACTTTGATTGATGATTCTTCGATAGTTTTTTTTTTTTTACCTCCACAACCTGTTACTGTAGACCTACTGGTGTGTGTGTGTGTGTGTGATCCAAAGGTTCAATTCAATTCAATTTAATTAATAATGGTAGGTTAGTCAAGACTGCAGTTATAATATAAAGAGAGCCACTGGTCTCCAACACATTGAATGTTCAATGTATTGCTGAATAGATGATATTGAATGTCGAATCCAGAACTGGTTGAATATATTAACTTATGTAGGGATATGTTGATACTACCAATTTGCAGGAGAGACGTATGTTGGATATTTAATGGAAAACGTGTAGTGAGAGAGATGATGTTGGATATCGAAGTTAGACTTTGTTACTCTAGAGATTATGTAGCATATTGAATTTAGTACCTATTGTTAGAAACTTGATGCTCAATATATACGTTGATATCGTTGCAGGAGAGATGATGGTGTCTTTGTTGTGGTACTACCGGCCAGAACACACGGAGCAAGGCCGTCGCTCGGACGACATCCCCGACGAGATCTTCGCCTCTCGGCACAAGGACACCAACAGTGTTGCTTGCATAGAGGACAAGTGCTTCGTCCTTACCTTCAATGAGTACTGCAGGTAATTAACCCTGGTGGGAGGGTAGATTACACACCTGATAGTGACAGAGAGAAACTTCTCAAAAGTGAAATGTGTGACAAAAACAAGCACACATAAATTTGGTGTGCTTGTTGTAAACCAAATCCTTCTCGGTATGCAAAATTCTTCACTACCTCACAATATTATGAGGGAAGATCTCCATATCTTTTTTTGTATTTAGTGTAGGCCTATGTTGCTTAACCCATCGGGAAAGGAATTAATGCGCTACCTGCAGCACCCTCGGGCGGCAATTAATTTTACCGAATTTGTAGACTTTTACTCTTAACTGCTATAGAAAGAAAACCTTAGGTAATAAATTAATAATTCTTTCACCATTTTGTTCACAGTAAAATTTCTCCAGAAAAGTGGTAATTGGATAGTCAAAGTTCTAAACTAAAAATAGATATATATATATATATATAAAGATTATAGAAATAAAAATTTTAAAAACAATATTTTGAAAGTAAACTTGATATACAAATTCCAAGATTAATCCAGACTCCAAATAACACTACTATTATAAAGTTCAATCGATTCCCTACGTAGAAAAAAAATCAAAAGTTGTGTACTTTTATAAGTAATAACATTTTTTTAAATTGTTTGTTTACCTTACTGCAGCTGATTTTTGGTGATATGTGGTTTCCATGGCAACACAAAATTGTTTGTTATTCGTTAAAATAAATGAGTAAATACACAAATCAAGAAGCAAGATATTTATAAACATTATAATAGTAAGAAGAAACAAAAAGGGTGAAAAATAATAATAACTAAATAACTAATAGCGCTGCCTAGCGGTGACACGAGCGGCACTCGTAAGTCGGCCGCCGGGCCTGCAGCGGTAATGGGTTAATCAGCTGTTGAGCCAATATTTTAAAGGTATAAGATATGTTTATCACCAGTTACATAGAATTGAAACATTTTCCAGTTTTTTACCGTTGTGATGGAAAATGTCCACAACAAACCTTTGAACATAACAATTTTATTTCAGCTGTAAAACTACGTGGTTTCTTCTAAACTCTTGCAGTCAGACTAAGTTTCAGCCCAGAGGAGGTTGAAATTTCCAAGGAAGGAGCGATTATGAGGCTGAAACTAAAGTAACCAGTGTCTGACTGCTGTTAGAATTCACTCATAGCCTAAAGCTGACAGACCGAACGATTTGAAAGTCCTGCAAAAGGCTCATAAGTTTACGTAGGCACGTAGTTAGTTACCTGTACTGTACTCCCACACAAATCTGTGAATCCTTGACAATATTTTGGAATAGTTCAACTTTTTTCTGATGTTATTCCCGCTGTAAGAATGCAAATTCTATATCAGCTGTTGTGTTTTAGGTACCGCAGGTCAATCCGTACTCAGGATGAGGGTCGGGGATGCAGCGGGGCTCGTCTAGTACCCCTGCCTGAGGGTAGCTACCCCCGCCAGCACCGTCAGCCCCCTGGCCGTGTTGCCCCTGACCTTGTGTTCTTCTGCCGCCGTGTCTACGACTTCAGACAGAAGAGAATTCTCAAGAATCCTTGCTGAACTCTTCCACCCTCCTCGAGCTAGTCTTTCATCACTTTTTGTTATACGATAACGGTTAGTATGAGATTAAACAAGTTTCTTGAGTGAAATTTAAGTTTTAACCTATATAGGAGGTCTTGAAATGTCCATCTCTGGCTTCTAAAAAAGCTGGGACCTCAACTCTTATTTATTTTTCTGCTGTGAACAATGTCCATACAACTTTGAATCTTTCAAACTTTCAATCACAGCAGTTAATCACTGTGTTGCTCTGGTAAAAATTTATTTTTGGTACAAGCTGAATCTAACTAGTAAAATTGTAGCTATCCCCGAAGATGGATTTCCACACATGTTACCGAAAGTTGGCTTTTCTTAGATTATAGGTTAATTTTTGTACTTTTTTAGTCAAGAAATTTCAAATCCTGTCAAATTTACAGTATCAAAGGTCAATTATTATTGTAGTTGAATCACTGTGATCTAGCAATTACCAATTACATTAGAAACCTAATACATTAAGATGAAATACTTGCCTTATACATCTTTTTTTTAGCTGGGTAGCGTATACCATTGACTATGTATACAATATTCTAAAACGTTATTGAAGTCTATTAACAATCTTTTCACATAGACTTTAGCTATAAAGGTAACACTTAAGAAACGTACATCTATTTACAGTAGAACCTCGCTACTTCGAAATTCAGAGGAAAGAAAATATATTTCAAATTATAGGAAGTTTGAAATATAGAGAGTTTGAATTATAAGTTAGAGGTCAGAATAAATAAAATTTAAATTATGGAGGTCCCAGTTTTAAGTGTAGAGGGTTTGAGAGAACGTATACTAATGGACATCACATTGTGGGAACATCAATAAGAGCGTCAGTTCATGTTTCAATGGGCATATCTTTTGTTCTAAATTCGAACTACAGAGGCCTAAGGATGACGCAGTTCGAATTAATTGTAGAGGATGACTTCAAACTTTACAGGTAAAAATCCAAATTATAGCAACTTAATTTGAATTGTAGAGGCTCAAGTATGTGCAAATTAGAATTAATGGTGCTTCATTAATTGTAAAAGTCACTTCGAATTATGAGTATACTATTTTTTTATTTTAGAGGTTTTCTAAGGGAACAGACAAACATTACTAATTATAGAGGTTTTCGATTTATCAAGGTTCGAACTAGTGAGGTTCTACTGTATTACAAACCTCCTCATTCTTGTGTTTGACAATATTTGTTGTTTTTGCAGGTACTGACCTATTCAACCTGGGGCGAGACCCGTACAAAGCATCACCTGTGTTAAACCCCTAAATGTCTCACAAAATATACTAGAGTAATTTGTATATGTTGATCAACCTTCATATATGTATGTTGTTTGAATTAATGTACGTATACGTGATCGGATCATGATTTACGAGGTGGTTTTGATGTATTCCGTACTAAATAGAAAATATTTTACTAAAATTTATCAGCAATAGTTATTTTAATATATATTGGATTGTGCTAAAACTAGTTTTAATTTACTAATAGTCATACTGATTCCCAGTATTAGCCCGTTTGGGGCAATAGTTTTAATTTTTGATCATTATGACACCAATATTATATCCGATTCGTGCTAGATTGTTTGATGAAGTTAGATAAAGTACCAGTTAGTCGTAAGAGTTTGCTAGTAGAAGACCAGTAAGTGACGGTTAGGACAATTTTCATTTATCGATTTTGTGCTTGAAATAGCAAAAGTTACTTGTTATACGTTTCAGCCGAAGTATTTTATGTACTGTTAAATTTATTCTGATTGTTGTGATATGTAAGCGAAATAATCAAATAGGTGGTTATAACTTAAATTACATAATGGCAATATGTATGTGCGAGTTTCATGATACAAACTGACATAATATGTTCCTATCCAAAGTGTGATGCTTCTTTTCGCAAATGTGTCAAAATTGTGATTCGGTTGCTGAATGTCTTATTAGAGTTGTTAATGTTATTGTGTTTACTTTAAGAATGTGACATTTATGGAGTTTGATAAGTAATGTTGGTTGAAAAAAAACAAGTTTGGAAATGCCATCTTTCAATACTTTTGTCCATTAAGGATAAGAAAGAAAAAAAAAACTTAGCCTCTTGGAAAGCTACCTTGTGTGAATTGCTAATTTCCTTTAAATTGAACAACCTGTTCAACAAACATATGAAATCTTAGAATATCTACTGGCACTAGTTGCTTGACAGAAATTATCACTCTGTGCCTAGGGAAAATCTTTAAGAAGCTTATAATTACGCTAACAGTTTTTTTTTTACTGAACTGAAAATAATCCACGATGGTATTGCACAATATATATCACAAAAATATTAAATGGTGTTAATTTGTTGAGGCAATAGTCACCAAAGATGTTTTGTGGATTTATGTTTGAAACATTGTTTTGCCAAAGATAAGATGAGTTTGAAATCTTTTTTAAGTTTGGAATAATATTTTTAATGGAAATCCAGGGGTTTACATAATATTATTAAAATACAAATTTCGTTGTTTATACCCTTTATCTTGCTTGTATTAAAATATAAATGTCATTCAAATAATTTTTACTACATAATTTTTGCTTTTAATATTTAATTTGATAACAGTTTGATATGAGAAACGTTTTGTTTGTAGAGCAAGTGCATTTGGATTTTTATCATGTTTATTTTTAACCTTATATTTATTTTGTTGTTGTTATGATGATCGCCAAATAATCACCAATAATCGCCAAAATAATGAAATAAAAAAAATTGTATGGAGTAAAATCTTTGATTAAACTCAAAACAATTTATTTAAACAATGAAATTGTTATAAATTGAAACACAGTAGAATAAAGATGTATTTTGTAATTTTATTCCATCTTAGTTTTAAGTGAGGAATAAGCTTAGCTTGACTCTAACTGTTACGTTTATAAAGTGAAAGAAATGTAACTACTAATTTCCACCATTTTGAGTTATAAACAAGCTTTACCTGTTTAAAACAGTTTATAAAATATCAGAAGCAGTATAGTTTACTGATCTATATCATTGTCAGTACCAATTATCGTTTATGTACTTTTTTGTAAATGATGGCATTATTTATTGTTTTGTTTGTAGATATATCTCGTTATTATTTATTACTACTTTAGTAGCACAGTAATGTTTATTTTTATGTTTTTGTTATTAATGTTGACTATTTAGTTTGTTAGTTCTAACTATTAGTGCTCGGACCAATAACCCTAGTGGCCAGTCTAAGGCCAGAATTAAGTTTCATTTTGATACTTTTACTCCCTGTTACAGAAATGCTAGTTTCAGAGGGAAAGACATGAAGATGTCAATTCAACCAAAGTCGTTGTATTATAGTACTTAGAGTTACGCTCGCAGAAGTATGCGATTGCGACAGTGGTATATTTTTTATTACAGTGTTGAGAGATATCGGTGTCAATCTGTTTTCGTGTCGTGTAAATCCGAAAATGAACAAAAAAATAAAGTAGATTGTTAGAAAGCCTTCTTAGGTGCCTTTTTGCATGCCTTCAATCCGTGCAAACTAAATGGTGTGTGAAAAGGGTTTGAAAAGTAAAATATAAATATATATTATGATATATTCCATGTATTAAATAAATGTACCAACACCCGTGAATCATGTTTTATTTCCTCTGTTCACTCAGTACTTTTGTGGTTGTTTGTTTTAGTTTTTATTATGTCATTACACATAGCCTCGTCTATGCAAAGCTTGCTCAACAATGTGGCAATGTGCTGGACTTGGTAGCAATCGCCATAGTAAAAACATACGTGTACCCATTTAGCATTGTGCTACAGGGTTATAAGTAGGCAAGGACTACGGTGTTGCCACTTTCGTCTTGCTGTGGCCTTATATTGTAGGAACCTATGCATTGCCACAGCTTGACATCATTGACCAAACAGAAGAGAGAGAGAGTGCTCTCAAAATGTAAAAGATTTGAAGAAAAGAAAATAGATAAACTCGGAATAGAAAAACCAATTATTTTAACATACAAGAGTCATGTTTTAAGAAAGTAAGCGGGCAGCTGATTTTGCGGCCCTAGGGATGTAAAAACCTGCTCGGTCCCCAAATGACGATGACAGCTGGCATGGCCAGCAAAACTTAACTTTCAGCCACCGCAACTAACGTATGTAAAACAGCTAAGGTGAATAGGTAATATAATTAACCTATTTATTAGTAAACCTTATTACTTTTTAATGCTTTTGAATGGGATCACATAATTTGTCCGAGTTTTCAACTGTCCAAGTTTGTTAAAAATCACAAAATATTTGAAAAATCAGTTGTCCGAATTTTGAGAATATTTCAAAAGCATTATAATTAACAATTACATATGTTTGCTGCTACAAGGAGGGGTAATAAAGTGGTAGCAGCCATCATCGGTAACAAACCAGTGGCGTAATTTTACCAAATCCTTGGGTTGGGGGACAAAAACCGTGGGGGGGAATACCCCCTAGCAAACAGGGGGGTCCGGGAAAATTTTGCAGTTTTGAAACAATAAAATGGGTTAGGCCTCAGAGTAATAAAACAAAATTTTTTGATTAATTACTCTGAGGTTAGACCTACCTTTTTGTTTTGTGTTGCTTTGAGTTCTTGATGTTTTAGTTTCCTGACCACATTTCGCCAAAGGTGTGGCAACAGTGGGTTCCAAGGTCGCCATAGTTTGAGTTTAAAATGTCTACTTGCTCATGACAAAGACAAATAACAGGTGAAATGAGAGGTTTTTGGACAGTTGGACACAGATACATTGGCTTTAGAAAGTCAGTAAACAGCTTTTTTAGGAGGATATGGCCGTCCGTAGCCTACAATATTTTTGAGATTTATGAATGCAATCGTCATTGTTAGTTTCAAAAATGTCTAAGATAAATGGGGAAATGTGAGATTTTGCACACACTTATAGACGTTAAAACTGGCTGTAGAAAGTCACCTATAACGGCTTTTAGGAGGATATGGCCGTAGTCTACAGTGTGTTTTGAAAATCATGAATGCAATCGTCATAGTTTAATTTTTTAAATGTCTATTTGATCATGGCAAGCAACAGGTGAAATGGGAGTTTACGGACCATTGGGCACGGTTTTAGGTGTTAAAAATGGCTTTAGAAAGTCATCAAACGGCTTTGAAAATTCCAAATTTTCCCGGGGGAGGACCCGGACCCCCTGCTTTATTGATGGTGGGTGCTCCCACTGTTATCTTATACGAAGTACAAATAAAGAAGCGCATAGTCATGGAGTAAAAGGTGTATCGTGTGTACTATAAATAACCGATCATTCATTCATTAGTCATTGCCAACGAATCATTTTAAAATAAACAATAAAAATAACCAATTATTTCCTGATTGAAATCCCATAGTTCATACTTTTCCCAAATTATATGTTTTTCTTTTAGTTTTGTCGGGCGGAGATGAAATACTAAGGGAGTACCTATGTTTAATCTATGCTTCTATATCTTGGACCTTTGTTGGACTGAGAGTGTCAGGGGGATGGACGGGTTGCAGTGTGGATTTCGATTTCCCGGAATTGTTGTACCTGTGACGTTGTACAACAATGAATTACTTGCAAAAATTGTTTTTTAGGATTTGACAGGAGAAAATATTTGTATATATTCGCTATTTATTACAGCATATTATTTGTTTCTAGCCCAGGATCCTGGGGGGGGGGAATACCCCCCTGCCCCCCATAAATGACGCCCCCGATATAAACACTAGTGTTTAGGTTTGTATAGTAAATGCCATTACTGAATTTGATACTAGACATAATATTTGTGACAAATCTATGTATCTACGTGTCTACTTGCTTGCATTACACATAACAGGTGAAATGGGAGGTTTTTGGACAGTTGGATACAGATATAGACATTAAAATAATGTCTTAAGAAAGTCAGTTTAAACAGCTTTTAGAGGGGTATGGCCCATCGATATACGGCCGTAGCCTACAATATGTTTTGATATAATGCAATCGTCAGTTTTAAAAATGTCTACTTGGTCATGACATATAAATGGAGTAATTGGAGGTTTTCTAGACGTTAAAAATGGCTTTAGAAAGTCAGCAAACGGCTTTGAAAGAAAATTCCAAATTTTCCACACCCCCCAAGCTCTCGGTAGCCCCCTCCTTGACAAGTTCCTAGAACCAAATCAAAACTAAATTATCTTTTTAAGTTATAAACTTCACTAAACTGTATTTTTGAAAGAAGGAGGATTGCTGTGATACAAAAATTTAATTTCATTATAAGGTTTTTTTTTTTTTTTTTTTGTCCTTAGGACGCTAGGCACGAGCCTGGGATTGTTTTTCACATTACTTCAGGCTAGACCTAGGGGTTACGGCATTATCACTTAGATAAAATCCATTGGTGATTTGGCGGGGATCGAACCCGGGACCTCAGGGACTGAAGTCCCGCGCTCTAACCACTACGCCAGCTCGCTCCCCTGTAAAAAACACTATAGTTTCAGAAACTATAGTTTCATTATAAGGTAGTTACGCCACTAATTTAAATCACTTTTACTAGTTGTGCAGCTACATGGTTAAAAACCATAGCTGACCCATTAAATGGCCAAACATTTGCCAACTAGACAAAAAAAAACTGTTGTTACCTTTTGACTTTTGAGGTCTGTCTGTGATGTGAGTGAGTTTGAGTGACAGACGACAGAGACGAGACGAGACGAGTCACGGCCGCTTATGTTGATTAAGATACTGAAATACTGACTGTATGTAATTCAAATTCACGAAGTGTTGCAGTATTCAGTATTGCAGTCGTAGCACAGTGCTACTGTGAGTATCTTAGTGAGTGTTATATTTATAGAGATTTTATTTTAGCCTATTTATTTTATTTTTGAGATAGGTAAACTTGTATGTATACTTTTGTGAATAAGGTATCATAATTATTGAATTGAATTGAAACCTTCCGTGGTTTTAAGTAGGATAAGTTTTTTACCTACGACCGTTTTTTAAAGTAGCCATTTCAGTCCAGTTCTTAGAATTGAAAAGTTTCACTTTACAGCTGTTTACTTTCATATCAGCATAGTTTTTCTCATATCCACACAGGTAACGGACCAATGAGGTTCAAGTATTGAGAGAAAAGAATTAAAATTGTAATGCTTCGAACGTCAACTAATCAGCTGATCAGTTGACCAATTTAATTGTTTGTTGATCCGACTTGTTCATGTTGATACTCGCGTATTCTTAATTAAGTTGGTGGAAGTCCAAAAATAAATGAAATATTTGCCAAATTGTACCTGATACAATATTATTTATGGTAAGAATGCTGCTAGCAATGTAATATTTAACGAAGTTTAACAAACACGTAATTACAGGAAATCAGCTGATTATACAACAAGTCGTTCAGTGGCAATGACAATACACGAAAACATAACCTCTCTAAAAAGTTATCAGTAGTGATTGTTAGTAATTAAATCCAGATTGATAGTAATTAAAAAACGGTCGTAGGTAAAGTAGTGTACGCAACTCGCGTTAATAGTCTTTACGACACTCGTAGAAGTTTTTAAATTTTCTACTCGTGTCGTAAAGACTCACTTAACGCAATCGTTGTGTAAACTACTATATACCTCTTATTGGGGGGTCAATCCCTGGGTACAGTTTCAACTGGGCTATGCTAATATTGATTGAAACAATCGAATTGAAAATATTGATTAATAATCCATATTTTTTTAAATATATCTATTATGAAACTATCATAACCTAACCTAACCAACCAAACTTGCTGATGGTGAAAAAATCGCATGAAGGTTTACTAATCGAATCGATAGTTTCAATCAATATTGGCATAGCCCAGTTGAGAAACTGTACCCCAATCCCTGGCAGATACAATAGAAATTAGATGATAAATAAATGACAATGCCGCACACTTAACAAAACAATCGCCATGAACATCTTGTTAAAAAGAATCTCGGTAAGGACTTCTAGCCTCTCTCGGTTCTCTAGACAAATGCTGGAGACGAGAGAAGAGAAGCCGTGCTGAAACAAAACAATCGTCACGAACATCTTGTTAACCTCTCGGTAAGAACCTCTTGCCTCTCGGTTCTCTAGCTAGACAAATGCGAGAAGCGAGATACAAGAGAAGAGAAGCCGTGCTGAAACGAAACAATCGTCAAGAACATCTTGATAAAACCTCTTGGTAAGAACCCCTCGCTAAGCAAAAATACAATCAAAACGTCTCGAGAGGTTCAAACAATCGAAACGTTATGATTGTAACATCTCACAGTCGCGCATCTCTAGTATAGGACTAGCTTACTCAACCTTGTAGATTCCACCTTTCTTTATGGTAACTTAGTTAGCCTAAGTACTTTTTGGTTAAAAAAGAATTGCCTTGAATTTTATATTTTAAAGATAGCCAAATTTTCAGTGTTCCTCTTATGTTGACGATCAGAGAACATCAGAATTAGAAAAATGTCAGATCTACACAAGTTTCAACCCAATTTTATGATTGGCTGTGCATCAGCGTCTTATCAAGTGGAAGGTGGATGGAACGCTGATGGTAAGCTTTTTATTTTTTCATTTTACTTTTACCATAAATTAGCTTGGGCTGTGGCTTTGATCATTTTTGGATGGAACATTTATAGGCTACTAGATAAGCCACAGATAAGTAAGATAGGCTACAGAGGATAGTTTGAAAATTGGAAAAGCTTAAAACAGAAGGGTAAAGGTGTTGAACTTTTCAAGGACTATACTCCGGGAAATAAAAGTATTATTAATAAAGAAGGCTTGTCAGAATCTGAGTGGAAAGACAGTATAAAAATGATTGCAAATGTGGTGCCAGTGCGTGTTCTCCACGGCAGAAGTCAGGGCAATAACCGCTGCAGGCATGCCTGTGGTGAGATTGAAACCCTTGCACATGCCCTTGGCTTCTGTCCGTTTGGTGAACTTCTAAGAAACACAAGGCACCACAAAATAAGAAGTATCATAGCAAATGCCTTCCGAAAAAGGTATAATACATGGGAAGTGCAAGAAGAAGTACACTGTCTTTCTTCTAACGGAAGCACCAGAAGAGTTGATATTTTATTGATTGAAAGAGAAACTAACAAAGGCATAATTCTCGATCCTACAATTAGATTTGAAATAAACATAAATCAAGCTAACGAAGTTAATGAAGAAAAGAAAAAAATTTATGATTCTACCTTTGAATATTTCAAGCAAAATTTTAAAATTTCGAAAATTGAGGTGATTGGATTGTTTATTGGTTCTAGAGGAACATTATCAAAATTTTTTGTGAACTTTTGGAAACAATATGATTTGGACAGATCCTTTTTGAAAATTATTATTCATGAAACATTAAGAGGTTCATTGGCCATAATGAGAAATCATCTATATGGCAAACATCAAAATTAATCAGTCTTATAGCTGTATAATCCTTCGATATTTTATAATCCTTCGATATTTTATGTGTACTATTTTTCTGTGTCTTTGGCAACCTTATTTTTTAAGGCAGAGGTATTTATTTTTAACAAATAAATTCTTTTCTCTCTACATATTTGACTGTCGCACAACGTCCGAATCTCATCATGTCCAAAAGGACAGTAACTGAAATAAACATACTCTTTCAACAAGCTCTGGACATCATGAAACAGCACACTTTACACTCTTAAAAAAAGTTGCACTTGCACCACGTACAAAGCTGCTGCCAGTTGTAAGGTGTCCAATAGCTCAGCGCTGTCCCACAACGTTCATTATAGAGAATGAAATGAAAAACTATAAGATTGAGATACTGGGTCTAAGTGAAACGAGGTGGAAAAGCTTTGGAGAGCTCAACACGCGGGAGGGAAATACATTGATTTAATCAGGGAATGAAAATTAAGATGCGCACAGACAAGCAGGAGTGGTAATACTAATTACCTCGAAGGCAAAATCAGCTTTTACTGATTGGAAACCAATCTCAAAAAGAATCATAATGGCGAGATTTAAGACCAAAGTAAGACAAATAACAATATTGCATTGCAATGCCACGACTAAAGAAGCTACGGATCATGCGAAGGACAATTTTTACAGTGAGCTAGAAATAGTATACAATAGAATTAATAAACAGGATATAATTTAATTGTTATGGGAGAAATGGGAGAGGAGCGGACTGTGGCAGTGATCACCATTTACCACACTAGTTAGATGAGGTTGATATGTCACAATATGATAAAAATGAGTGATTAGTCAATACTCATCGCCGGCCGGAAAGACCATGCATTAACTTAATTTGTTATCAGTATTATAATTTGGCCAAATTTTAGTTCTATGTTATCGTGTCTTATCATGCCTGTGTTTGTGTGTTAAGAGTTTAGAAGTTAAATAGTGGTGGTCAATTTGGGATTACGTAGCTAAAAAGGTCTATCATTAAAGTGTAATAATAGACTTAAGTTCTACTAACAGTCCTTGGTAGCTATCTAATCTTAAAAGATAAAATGACTACCACTATTTGCTTGATGGTAATGGCAACACTATTTGCTTCTTTTGGTTTATCCAATGATGATGTTGAGTTGAGTTACATAATCAAAGTCAATTAATTTATATTCTACAACAACTGAATGTCTTTGATATCTATTGTAATTTGAATAGTACTAGAAATAAAGCTATAAGCTACATGAATCTATCAACATAACTAGGTTTTATACGGTTGTTCCTCAATACCGTAATCTGAAAGAAAAGATACGGGGAGAGTCTTGTTTTGTAAATATGATTGATAAAAACTAAGATACACAACGGCAGTATATAAGATTTGCAATGAAAGTTAATCAAATTAATGAATACCTCACTGCATTCAAAGGTTAAAATGTCGGATTGTCTTCCGCTTTTACCAGTGGCGGCTGGTCCATAAGGACGGACATAATATGTTTTTGCAAGAGATAGTACGCGGGGACTCAGTAGATATGAGTCCAAACGCCAAACCTGTTATATAAACTGCATGGAAAAGTTGCCCAATCACAGCGCTGCGCCAGGCTCTAATGCAATAGATATAGGGTGTTTGGGACTCCATCCAAACAGTAGTTCTAACTATTGCCACAACGAGCGCTGAGCGCTGTGATCTAAGTGTCAACAACACCATGTCATCAGTCAAAAGTGATTCGTAGAGCTTAAATGTTCATCAAGCCGGCATTCTAGGTGTTAATTAATATACTAAATTGTTTCTCTAGAAGTGTTGTTCAGAGATGCTAATGAATTCTGTTGAAAATATTTCTGCAAAGTGTGTGAGTGGTGAGGACAATTAATTAATAGTAAGACAACGAAGATAATTATGAATAAAACAGTTTACATCCAAAAAAATTGCCTAAACCAACTTTTAAATAACTCGATTTGTTTACCTTCAACCTAGACCCTTCCCTGGTAAACTCCCAAAAAAATTGTTTTGCGTCCTTCTACTTAACCCATCAGCCGCCACTAGCTTGTTCTCTTCCTACTAGATTTGCTTACATGCAGAGGGTGAGGGAAATCCATGTTACTGCAGGTTTGTTTTGTTTCGGTCTACAAGAACTAGTTTCGGTGGTAAGTCGGACTAATTAGTAAGAAGGCAATTATACTTCGTGTCGTTTAAAAAATAACAGTAAATTTAAAAGAAAGGGAAGACACAGTAAACATTGGCAGGGAAACAACTGAAAAAATATTACCTAGGCTAGTAAAACTTAGTGGCACTTAAGTTAAGTTTTCAAAATCATCATTGTATCTTTTGCAGTTTTAGGTTCTACAAAGTGTAAATTCTATTTGATAATTTAATTTGTAATCCTCACCATGTTCTAATGCTGCTCTAACCCAAATTTATATAGGCTATATTACCCAGTGAGTGATAAAAACCCCTTTTGTCCAACAGACAAAGGAGAAAATATTTGGGACTACATGACGCACACTCAACCAGACAGTGTTAAAAACAAGGATAATGGCGACATCGCGTGTGACTCGTACCATAAATATAAGGAGGATGTTCAACTCATCAAAGACATAGGGGTAAGAAACTCTGGCTTCATAAGGGTTCCTTGAACAATCAATTATTCAAGTACCTATGATAAAAATATAAAACTTAGTTGCCGAGGGGGTAAAGTGCTCGTCGTAATCCAATGGTTTCCAATGGAACAATTTTAAAACTTTTTGATAATATGACTTGAATCCAGCTGTTCTTGATATTTTTCTTATTCTTTAAAGACGGTGACACACTATCGATCTTTTCCCCGAACAAGACCCCGAACCGAGCAGGGAGAAGGGAGAAGGGAGGTCGAAGGGAGGATGTTCGATAGTGTGTCACGGGTCCGTACACCGATCAAGACGCCGAACAAGACATCAGGCCGAGCAGGGAGACGAACGCTCTGGAGGCGGTTTTTTGGCGAAAGATCAAAGAAAAGATCGGTCCGATGTACGGTCCGATGTACGATAGTGTGTCACGGTACATTTTTGCCCCGTACATCGTCGCGAGCGCCGCACCGAGCGGCCGCCTGCGCTAGCATTGATAGTTCTGATTTAATATGGCAATTAAACTCTTTAATTGGTAAAATAAATAAATGTTGGGTAATATGTTTCCGTTATATATTATAATCATTTAAGATGTAATGTTTGTGGTTTGTTTGGTCAAGGTTGAAAGTGTAGAAACCGTTAAATCAATTATATCATTAATATTAAGGTTGAATTAAGTAATTGATGTTGACTTAAATTCTTTCAAAAATAATATAAACATTAATATTATTAAAGGCAATTAAAATGATCATTCTGTAACGTTATTTCAATGAATAAAACCAATAGAAATCAATAGATATAACCAAGCATCCTTTCTAGAATATTTTATTTTTGCGACAAGTTTTCAAAATGCGACTTTTAACAATAATTTTTATGTTATAGAAACCTCCGCGCTCTCACTCACACACACTCTCTATCTCTCTCCAAACTTCCTTTTGCCGCGCTCGGTAGAATTCGTCTGGTCTTTGTCATGTTCGGGGAAATGTTCGGAGTAAAATTTTGCTGATATTTATCTCCCTTCTCCCTTCTCCCTGCTCGGTTCGGGGTCTTGATCGGGGAAAAGATCGATAGTGTGTCACCGCCTTAAAACATTCTAATAAAGTAATCATATTCGTGGATATTTAGCTGATCATCTCATTTCCAGCTGTCCCCCATGCCTCATTTTTGTCTTAACACATCGTGGTGTATCGGAACTATTTACAAAAATTATTAAATTGATCAACAAATTGTGGACTTGCTACAATCTAAAAAGAGGCTTTGATGATCTAGTAGTACTTTTACTGCTCTGGGATAATCTCAATTGGTAACTTAAAACTTTATTGACGTCCGATTTCTAACATATGACTGTAGTTGACAGATTGGTACCTTTAATCTGGGAGCAACAGAACAACAAGCGCTATGGATATCACAGTAAGCAAGTTAATGTTCAAAGGAGAAACATGTAGCCTGCCGGTATTTATTTTGTAATCTGCACTTTTTAAACCTTTTTATTTTCATACCATGCTAATGATGTGTTAATTGTTGCAGTTTGCTCACTACAGGTTTTCTATTTCCTGGAGTAGAGTTTTGCCCACCGGTCATGACAACGTTGTCAGTAAAGCTGGACTTGCCTACTATCACAACCTCATCGATGAACTCAAGTCGAATGAGATTGAACCTATGGTTAGTGTTTGATGTTAACTATAACATAAGCCTACCGTTTAAAATTTTGATATGTGAAATTACCAAAAATGAAAAGGATAGAACATGAATGACAGGTATGTTTACCTACAACCGGTGTTTGGGATAAATAAACTTGGTTACAACTAGTTTTTTTCATATAAACTAGCATTTTTAATTAGAAAAGATTCACTTTACCACATTGTTTACTTACTTTTTAGCACTAGTGTGGTAAATTAACGAACCATTAGGGTTCAAAAGGAATGAGAGAACACAAAATAAAATTGTAATGCCTCGAACGCCAAATTATCAGCTGGAACTAACCATTTCAATTGTTAATCTACAAACTTCTTCCGGAAACTCACACATTCTTTCCCCTAATATTAACTTAAGGATAAGCTAAGCTAACCATCAGTGAGTTACAGGAAGGTTTATAGAAAGATTATGAAAATGTTGTAATGTAATATAATACCGTTGTAGGTAATTAGTGTAAGCAACTTGCGTAATTAGTATTTAGGGCACTTTTAGAAGTTTTTCTCGCCAAAGTTTTGTAAAGACTATCTTTACGTGATCGTTGCTTAAACTACTATTAAGTTAGCCAAGAAGCCACAGATTTTTTTTCATACACTGGATATCAAAACTCACTTAAACAAAAGACAATAATAACATCTATCAAATTTTTGTATCTTCCTTTATCTTTGTAACAGGCCTGAAATTCAAACTTATAGGTACACTGATATTTGTAATCTCATTCTTTTGATTGTTTGAATCACTTCTACACTTTCTCTTCTCCACATCCCAATCCACCTCTTTTGTTTGGTGTCCATAAAAATACTCGACTGTTTCATCTCAATCAACATAAACTTGACAATCACAATAACATGCGTTGATTAAAAAAGTTAAAATTTGTAATTGTTTATATAGGCTAAACGTTGATGTCACAATTGAAAATTAAATATTGACTCCAGAACTTTGAATGAGTTTTAAAATTAACTCTACAGTCTTGATTTCAGCAAAAAATAGGGTAAAAAATTAATGTCACAAAACATTGTGGTGTGACGGATAAACCTCAATTAGTGTGTGCATTGGCTTATTACAGACTGCTAATGTAAACAAACCATCGTAAAAGCCAACTTACAGTTTCATTACAACTTCTTTTTACCACGTTGTTTCTTTTTACAACTCGGTTATTTGGTACAAGTTAAAAAATGCACCTGTTCTAACACAAATTACATGTTATGAATGTACCATGGCATAACATATGTCTGTTTGGCCATGGGTATCCAGCTTATATTCTGGCGTTGATGGTGGTAAGTCAGAATATATTTATTTGTGTATTTTACCTTTCTTTACATACACACTTGTAAAGTGAGTGGTTTGTATTTCACAACAAATGTTAAGTTTTGAGGGCTAGAAAAAAAATTGTAAACTAAGTTTTTAAGGAAAAATTACTGACAGAAACATTTTTTCTTAAAAGTAATCAGTAAATGTTAAAAGAGCGGAAGTCACAAATTTTGAGAAAGTCACTTTTTTTCTTACTTGTAGTGTCAGATGATAGCTCTATCGTTTTGTGTTAAAGGACACCTGACAAACTTTTCCCCTAGTCTGTACAGCTTGAGAAAGTTTTAGTTTTAGTTTAAAAGGGCTATATGAGTAGCACAGTTTTTTCCAGTACCCCAAAAATTTACATTCCTGGACTTCTGTCCTTTAACATTTACTGATTCCTATAAACTACTGCATCCCCTAACCATTTATTTCTGCAAGTTAAGCCACAAAGGGAAGCTCAAAATAGTATGTAAAATAAACACTTAACATGTCTTGTCTTTAGGTTACTCTCTACCATTGGGATTTGCCTCAATCATTACAAGAGCTGGGTGGTTGGACCAACCCCCTAATGGCAGACTACTTTGAGGCTTATGCAAGGGTTATGTTCAAGGAATTCGGAGACAAGGTCAGTATGACAGCCTGAATACAGAGCTGATGCAACATAAAGTATTATAGTCACCCGATTGTTAGTTGTATACTGGCTGAAAAACTGTAACACATTGACGACCTTGTGCGTCGAAACACACAAGTGCCTTTTTAAAAGTCGAGACTGTACCTGAGCAGATATCGTACCTGATTTTATAATTTCAAACTGTGTTAGGTAAGCAAATAAATTTGTGGAAAAATAATGTAAAAATAATTTTCATGTTAAAAAATAATTAATATTAAAATTTGTCTGCATCTCAAAATACAAATGTAAAAAAAAAACACTTACTAATAACTGTTGTAGGCTATTTTGTCATGGTCCAAAAAAAAAATTGGGCCCGTAAATTTAAAGAGTGGTTTTTTATCACCCAAAAATGTTTATAATACAGGGTGATTTGTACTCAGTGTGACAAAATTTTTTTGGTGTAAGTACAAAGTAAATGAAGTGTGATGATGCATATCAAATGCTCCAAGTCTCAAAATTAGCGTCCCAAAAAATTATTTAATGTTTTTCAAAAATAACTATGCTTTTAAACTTAATACAGTTGAACCTCTATAAGACGAATTTCAAGGGGTACGGGAAAAATTCGTACTATAGAGGTATTCTTAATAAAGAGGGTCGTTTTATCGAGGTTTAATGCTGCTGTTATTCTTCTTATAGAGGTTTCTCCTCGCTCCAAGGTTTCTCCAAACAATGACTGAGGAAGGAGGAGGGATGGGTGGGGGTTTCATGTTGAGACAAGCTTCTGTTTGTTTTGAAAACTACGTACTATGGAGGTTAAGATTATGACAAATTCGTCTTATAGAGGTCACGTTCGTCTTGTAGAGGTTTTGTGCTAAGAATATTCGTTGTATAGAGGTTAATCAGTCCTAGCCCATGTCACACAAAAATTCGTCTTATGGAGGTTTTAAACTTAATTACTACGTTGTATAGAGGTGTTTTTAGCATTGACCTATATGAAAGTGTCAAGGGGATTAAAAAAAATTCGTCTTATCGAGGAATTCGTTTTATCGAGGTTCGTACAAACGAGGTTCAACTGTACAGCGATTTCTCAATTACCTGTATATGGATTTGAGTAGATAATGTCATTTTCGTGTTCTACATTAAATTTTGAACAAGAATAATGGAAAATGACGGAGGATCAGTTGTAAAAACTCCATTGTAAATAGATTCAAAGATAAAAATTAAGATATTTGATAAAAATTGTAAAAACAATGGTCTGTTGCATTTTTCACACCCTGTATACAAGAAAGTGTCGGAATATGTTAAAAACTGCGCCATTTTATAAGCTTTCCAACCATATGCTACACTATTGAGGTTTATGCCTGCTTATGTACGCATTAATGGTTTGAAGACTACAAAGCATGGTGTCTTTAACATTTGAAACATAGAAAGTCGGCATGTATTAATCAAAAGTTGTATTTTTGTTTCAGCTTGAACAGTAAAAACAGTAAAAAAGTTCCCTGTTTTCTGGTATTCAAACCACTAAAACAAACAAAAAAATATCTAAACCTCAATAGTGTAGCATATAGTTGGAAAGCTTATAAAATGGCGCAGTTTTTAACATATTCCGACACTTTCTTGTATACAGGGTGTGAAAAATGCAATAGACCATTGTTTTTACAATTTTTATCAAATATCTTAATTTGTATCTTTGAATCTATTTACAATGGAGTTTTGACAACTGATCCTCCGTCATTTTCCATTATTCTTGTTCCAAATTTAATGTAGAACACGAAAATGACATTATCTACTTAAATCCATATACAGGTAATTGAGAAATCACTGTATTAAGTTTAAAAGCATGGTTATTTTTGAAAAACGTCAAATAATTTTTTGGGAAGCTAATTTTGAGACTTGGAACATTTGATATGCATCATCACACTTCATTTACTTTGTACTCACACCAAAAAATTTTTGTCACACTGAGTACAAATCACCCTGTATTGTTTTGATTAAAAATAACTGATTTTGAGCATTAGAAGGTTCATTTTTACGTTAACTGACCCATATTGACAATAGAGTCAAACAAATCAAGCAAGTTTGTGTAGATTGTGTTATTTTCTTTGTTGGCCTACTGTATGTTTTTTATACCTCCCTAACAGTCAGTTGTCTAGCTTGATTCTAAGCTCAGCTCAAGACAGGTTTAGTAAAATAATATTTTAAATACCGGTATGTATTATTGATTTGATTTTTAAAATTGTATCATTAAGTTGAATCACTTATTTAAATTAAATATCATTTCTTTTCTTTAAGTTGAGTCATTGTCTAAAAAGCCACATTCCTAATAGATTGTGGTTGGTTTGCTATGCATTTTCAAGCATCCAGTGTCAACTCTGGCTTGAAAGTGTGGGTTGAAGTGATAAGATTACATTATCAACTTCCTACCATTGTATCACATGAGTGTCATTTACTTGTTTGATGAATCTTACTAATTACCAACCATGCTAATATTGTTTACATCATACAATACAGAAACAGGTACTTTTCCATTCGTATTGATAGGCTGGAAAGTTGCCCATTGCAGTGCCTACAAATGGAAAAATAACATAATGAAATGAAAATACTATTTTATTGGGTTGAGGCGAACATTAGTATCACATGGTCCTTTCTTACAGTTATCCTCTTATGTACTAAATGTAAACTACACAAATACATTTTTATACAACTTTTTAAACTATACACAAAATAATAATTTAAAACTAAAGTTATAAATCTTTGTCCCTAATATACGCATACACACACACACACATACGGGGTTTTACCGCATACTCGCAAACACCTAATTGTGGCATCTTTTAAACTGCGGCCACCAGTAGATGAAGGAAGGTGGTAGAAACACGTGTGCATCGATATTTTTAATGAACACTCCATTTTAACATCTAACATTCCAGTTTTTAATTGTGGCACCTTTGCCACAAATCGGTATATATCAACAGTGTGTGGACAGGATGCCACTAATGCGTTGTAGTGCTTGAGCGGTGTGTGCGCCCCCCCTACTTCCCGCGTGCGCTGTTGCCAGTTCTCCGTTCTAGTTCCTTCATTCCGTTCTGTATTCATGTGGCTATGCCCTAGCCGCTGTAGCTCATTGCCCGCGATCCTCAAGTCGTCTTTTATTAGTGTAACGATTTTTTTACATGCAGTTTTTTCCAAGCTCCAATAATTTTGACAATTTAAAGTCAATGGACCAAATGAAATGTCTTGTGGATTACATAAAACTACATGCTATGTCGTTGATATTTCATCGTCACATTATATGTATGGTTTACGAGCTTAGATACTTGGATTAAAGGCCTTAATGTGCTGGGTAAATTATCAGTTTCATGGGAATATACAAGAAATTTACCTTAAAATACACAATAAGAGTGACTCCGTATTTTCTGTATGCATATAATTAATTCATGGTAATCTAAAAGTACAGGGTGTTTATAAAAAACCTGATCGATTTTAACTTTGTCTCACTCATTCCGTGTTAGAGGTAGAAACCTCTAGTTTTCATTATTTGTTAGGGAAACTCAAAAAGTTTTATAATCAGCTGTTTTTATTAGCAGTACCTTCTTACATTGTTGTGTGATAAACAAAAACAAATAAGTAACATTTTACGATGGATCCTCGAGTGAAGACGCAGTGTGTCGAGTGGTTAATAGAAACTAAGTCTACTCTTGCTGTTCAGCGTAGATTTAGAAGGAGATTTAACGGAAATCCTCCTTCAAAGAACACGATAAAAGCATGGTATGAGAAGTTCATGACCCATGGGAGCATACATCACAGAAAAGGCAATGCGTTGGATTGGCCGTGACGGATCCATAGGGTAAGTGAAGAAAATGTTCAAAGAATTCATCAATCATTTCTTAATAATCCGAGACAATCAACAAGATCTGCAGCTCGAGAGTTGAATATTAAGCATTCCACTCACACAAAGTGTTAACAAGAGTTTTGCATTTTCGGTCTTATAAGTTACAGATAGTTCAAATGATTACGCGACAAGACTGGGCCAGACGCAGAGAATTTGCAGTTACAATGCTCGACCGTTTAGAAACTGACAATAACTTCTTAAACCGGATATTTTTTTTTTATGAAGCTACGTTTCATGTATCAGGGAAGGTGAACAGACACAATGTCAGGATATGGGGATCTGAGAATCCTCATTTTCACCAGGAGCATACTAGGGATAGTGAGAAGGTGAATGTTTGGTGCGCCTTATCTTGCAACAGATTGATAGGCCCTTTCTTTTTTGCCGAAAGGAATATCAATGGGACCATTTTCGTGGATATGTTGGAAAACTTTGCCATTCCACAGTTTGAAAATGAGCAACCAAACATGATGTTACAACTAGATGGCGCTCCACCTCATTGGAGACTGTTTGTTCGTGACTGTCTCGACGAATAATTCCCAAATCGTTGGATTGGCCGTGACGGATCCATACCTTGGCCACCAAGGTCGCTAGACATTACCCCATGTGATTTTTTTGTTTGGGGGTTTGTAAAAGATCGTGTTTACTCCAACAAAGTCAACAGCCTGAAAGAAATGAAGCAAAAGATCAGAGAAGCATTTGATGAAATTGATGTTCCGATGTTGCGGCGAGTTTGGGCAGATCTCGAACACTGACTTGATTATTTAAGAGCTAATAATGGAAAACATGTAGAAATAAGATAGTGTGAATGTGCCATCGTAAACTTAAGAAAATTGTCTTTAATTTAACATTAATTTTAAAAAATTGTGATGAAAAATAAAAGAGCTATGGCTGTTTAAAATCGATCAGTTTTTTTTATAAACACCCTGTATGTGTAACGAATTTTTCATCACACTATGATGTTTTAGCTGTTTTACATACGTTAATTGGTGGCTGAAAGTTATGTTTTTCTGACCATGCCAGCTGTCATCGTCATATAGGGGCCGAGAAGGCGTTTACATCCCTAGAGCCGCAAAATCACTTGTTCGCTTATTTACTTAAAAGATTAATGTATATTGGCACAAGC